ATTTTTTCGATTGATAATGAAAAAACAAGTAAGAAAGTCTAAGTTCGGGTGGAGCAGAACATTAAATACCCGGCGCAAGTATTAAATATATGTTTTCCACCTTTCCGAAAGCTACCGCTACACGATAAGCCGGGGTGTATACATTTTAAGTAAATTAGCGTCCTTAAATTTCGAAATATTGAAATTTCAAGCATTTCTGAAATTTACCGTTATATGAAAAGCGGCCTCAATTTTAGTCCGATTTCAACAATTTTCAACGGTTTGCTTTTATGTGGCAAGCACAATAACCATACCGAGCTTGGTACAAATTGCTAGAACGGTTAGCGAGATACATATATGTGATCACAAGTGGGCGGTGCTACGCCCATTTTCCAAAATTTTGTCATAAACGTATTTCCTGGTAAAGAATTGTTGCAACCATCAATTTTGAATAAATTAGCTTCAATATTTACTGATTTATCGAAGATTTTGTATTTCTCGAAATTACCGTTATATGGGATGTGGGTGTAGTTATTGTCCGATTTTAGAAATTTTCGGCCATTTGGTATGCTGTATCAGGACCAACAATTGTGCCAAGTTTGGAAGAAATTGGTGGAGCGGTTACCAAGATATACACATGTAACCATAAGTGGGCGTGGCTACGCCCATTTGCCAAAATTTTGTAATATTCTTATTTTTCGTCTAAAACTCATTGCAAATATCAATTTTGAGTGAATTATCTTTAGTAGTTACTAAAATATCGCAGTTTTCGTTTTTCTGAAAATTACCGTTATATGGGAGGTGGGCGTGGTTATTGTCAGATTTCGCCCATTTTCAATACCATCCGTCCTACGCCCAAAAGAAGTTCACGTACCAAGTTTCGTTAAGATATCTCAATTTTTACTCGAGTTATCGTGTGCACAGACGGACAGACGGACGGACGGGCGGACAGTCACCGCTTAATCGATTTCTCTTTTCATTCTGATCATTTATGTATACATTTGTCTATATCTATCTCGATTCGTTTTGCCTGTTACAAACAACCGTTATGTGAACAAAGTTATAATACCCTTGTGCACAAGTGCGCGCGGGTATAATGAGTAAGTTTGGTACATTTTCGCCTAAACAAGCGTTTTAAGGCTAAAAGTGTTCACATACTTGATTTACATATTTTTTATTTTACTTGTTTCTGGAACTCAATTGATTGAAATAAATGAAAGAAGAATGCTTTAGCGTTTTTTTTCTGCCGAGAGAAGGGAGTGACACTAAAAAAAAACTACTCGTGAGGTTTGTCCATACAAATGCGCAGAAAACGATCCCCTATAGAATAAGGAAAGTGAAGATACCCAATAATTTAATTATATAACCTTAGTTTGTCTTCTCTTTCGCATACATATTTTGTATGTATGTGTGTCTATTTCATGTTCGTAGTTTTTGCAGATCGCGATCGATGGACATTCGATTGATGAATGATGCGGAGATGATTATTCAATGTCTCAGCACTGACTGCAAAATTATCGCTCGAGTAAATGGCCATCGGACTTGTATGTAGTGGTGTCTCTTCCGAGTCAACGCAGATATTTTGTATGTGAATATTTATTTTATTTATATTTTTATGTATATTTGACATCCAGCTTATCGTCAGTTGTTCGTTTTTTGTTTTTGAAACCTAATTATGCGCCTTGTGCAAAAATATTACGTGATTCTCTTCTAATCAAAATAAAATGCTGCACACATCAGTGACTGAAATAAATGCATAACTTTGTGTATGTGCATTAATTATTAAGTACATACACACATATGTATATGGAAATAAACGTATTGTACATATTAGGGAGTGATAAAAGTCATGTAGACACACTTCATGGTTTATGTTTAAATTAATTATGTTAACAACAATCAGACCGCTATGAATCAAGAAAATAAATTCTGTGTTAAAAAAAAAACAAAAACGAAGTAAACTAAAAACCAGATACTTGTTAAAATATTTGTACGTGGTTATGTGTGTGTGTGTTAACTTTGTTTTCATTATTTAGTTTTTTTTGTGTTTATTGACATTTCTTCGTTTGTTAGTTTGTGGGCGTGTGTAAGAATGCTTCTTCCATTGTGCTAATTAGAATTTTTTGGGTATTATATCAATTTTGTGGTGTTGAATGCGGCTGTGTATGCGCTTACATGTTTATACATAAAAACTTACATACATATACATTTATATAGCAAGGTTAAACTTTTTGTTTGTTTATATTTTTAACTATACTGTATCGGTCATATCTTTAGCACTCCATTTCAAAGTGATGCCGTTTGTCACTTATGCTTATTTACTTATTTGTACAAAATTATACAGTTAAAATACAGTTTAAAACTTTGTAGAAAACTAAAATAATTCAAAAAATTTTCATCAAATTACTAACTTTTTTCTCAGAAGTCCTGGGATTTTTTTTTTCACTATGAGGCATTCCAAGCTATTTCAATGAAAATTATGATTATTTTTTTCGATTTTGATATAAACTGTATATCAAAGATTTAACTGACAAATGTCTAAAGGGTGTCTCGATATAGGGCCTGCGATATTAATTGTTTTGTAAAGCAGTGACTGATGAAAAAATTAAAAAAAAAACTTCCAATTAAAATTTTATTTAACCTTTTCTTTCGGATAACCAAGATAGTTACGTACTATGGTAGTGGTTCAGGTAGTATTTGTTTTCCTATACTTTATTTTGCTATAACCCTCTTACTTGTGAAAATCGTGAATTTAGTATATTAACATAAACATTTCTTTGATTGGTCATATCTCCTGAAAAGGCAGAGATAACTTAATTATTTTAATTTAAGTAAAGCGAAAAACTCTATATTTTTAGCACGAATTTTTGAATTTGTCATTTTTAACGTCATGCTAAATTAAAATTCATTTTTGGTTTTTTCTAATTAAAAAAAAAATCGACGTGCTACAAAAATCCAAAGAACCACTAATTCACTACTACATTTTAATAATTGAGCGTCTACTCTGTTGGAACTTTTTATTAGAATTCCTACTACTCACTATGTAGTTCTAATGGGATCATATGGAGACATTGGAACCAAGAGATTTAGTAGTACATTTTAATAATTGTAGTCAACATTTTCGGAACTTTTTGCTAGATTTGCAGAATAGTAATATGGGGAGGGGTACAAAATGTATTCAACAAAGTGTAATTAAAATATACTATAATACCAAGTTGAAAAAAAATTAATTTTGAATCGTTTGGAGAAGTGAAACTTACGTTACATATCTATTTTGTGTCATAACCAATTTTCCTTTATCTTCATTTTTATCTTTATACTCTATCGCTAACAACATCGATAGTAACACCCAACAAAATATAGATAACAAATCGGTAAAAATATCGATAGAAAAACCGATAATAATATTGGCAGCAAAATCAATTAGAAAATCGATAAAATATCGATAATAAAATCGATAACAAAAATTGATTAAAAATCGATAAAAAGACCAAACAAAATCGATAAAAATTACGATAGCAAAATCGATAACAAAGTCATAAATAATCGATCACAAAAACGATAAACAATAAATAACAAAATCGATAAAAAATCAATAAAACATCGATTCGACATCGAAATCGATGGTAATATTGGTCGCAATATCGATTAGAAAATCGATAATATATTGATAACAAAATTGATAACAGTATCGTTAAAATTTATCGATAAAAATACCGATTAATTATTGGGAAGTTTCAAAAATATCGATAGCAAAATCGATAACAAGTTTATTTTCAAAATCTTATGCCGAAAAAGACGTGAGAGGTCCATACATTTCTGCGCTAGAAGCTATGTGCCATAGATTGTGTACATTAAAAGAGACACTGTCTGGACCGAATACAACAGGGAAAAATTAACAAATAATTTAAGCATTTCATTAGCTATCTTTCAATTATTGTAAATATGTTATGAATTACTCAGTAGCCTATAAGCGCAATGTAACAGAAAAAATTCTTAGAAAATGTCTTTATGCACGTTATTGTGAAGTACAACAACTTCTGTATAGGCGAGAACCTGACGAAATTCAGTGGCCTTCCAATTATGTATTTCATCTAATGATCTATGTAGGTTTCCTTGGAAACTGCCTGGGAATTTTTTTTCTTAATTTCACGAGTTCAGAAGATATTTTCGATATATTTGCTTTTGAAGTCGTCTCTTCTGTTCTAATTTTAATGATTCGAATAAGCATTTTTCTTGCAACTACAAGAACGATAAGGCGCATGCTGTCTAAAGGAGTTTGCGTTACCATATTAAATCCTATTTCTTCGAGGGGAGTCTTTTCATCTTTGAATTTGTGGCTGAGATTTGTATATTTTCCTAAAGAAAAGTCTGCGTCGGAAATTTAAGTGCCACTAAAAGTACTATATTTTAGCACAGGGCCCAATTTTCTTCGATACTATTGTGCACTTAGTGCAACCATGCGATGCAGTATGTAATATGTTCTGGGACACCACAAACGAAAGCTTTAGCCGGCATGTCGCATGATAAACAGCGGAACAGAATATAAATTTACTTATTTACTTATTTACTTCTCCGCATTTGCAGAAGAACACATGTCTTTCAAAAGGCCGATCTACAATATATAAACTAGTTATTCAAGACATGTGTATATTTTTGTACATACATATATAGTATTCCATCCAAATCGGAGTTTCTCAAAGTTGTTTTTTTTTTATATGTACGTACATACATATGTACATCCATGCAGAATTAATTTAAAATGTAAATGTATGTATGTATGTCCTTTGTTGTTGTTCGTCGTTGTTACGCTTCTTTATTGTTCGACTCTTCCATGCTCGTTTCTTCATTCGAGCTCTATAGTAAAGCGACAAAGCCATATTGTTTATGTTGCTGTCGTTGCTGTCGCCGCTGCTGCCACCGTCGTCAACGTGTTGGCGTCAACAGTGACTGCATCGCCGACTGCGCGTTTTGAGCAGCATGGCTTGGGTTTATTCATGCCTGCAATCAATGAGTTTTGTTTAAATTGTATTCGAACGCTGAAGTGAACGGTCGTACATTTCCAAAACTGCGCGAGTTTCAATACTCTAATCAAATGAAAAAAAGTTCTAAAAACCAATTCATAAGAAAACTATTTAGCACAAAAAAAGTTGAAGTGTTTATAAAAAAGTCTGAAAAAACTGTGTAGTGCGAAAAAATTAAAAAATAAAAAAACGTTGAAAACATACTTTTACTAAAAGCGACTATCAAAAGTGGATATATTTTATTAAAAAAAAATAATAATAATAAACAAAAACTGCTGAAAACCAGTGCTCAACGCATAAACTTGAAAACTTTTTATCGCAATTTTCGAAATACACCGCTGTCGTTTTTTGAATTCACAACAAAAACATCGTTTTAAATGATCACACACTTACTATCCTGATATCTAGTGTCCGCAGTGCTCTGTTGTGTGTGTGTGTCCGTAAATACCTGCCTTCCGTGTCTATATCAAAGCTTGAACACGAAAATCTACCATTCCAAGATGGCTTTTGCAATTATGAGCCGTGGCTTCTTGCGTACTTCCAGAGAAATTCTGGATCGTAGCATGGCTGTGGGTGGTATTGCAATCTCTCATTGCTGCAAGGATGCTGAAATTAATGTGAGTTTAAAAAACATATTTCGGTATTTATTTACTGAATTATTTACAGTTGGAGGCACAAGTATTCGTAAATGTTTCGGAAATGGTGACTTTTTCGTTTCACTGCCAAAGCAAAAAACTTGCCAGTATTAAAGTTATGTAATTATGTGCTTCACGGCGCCGTACACGAGTACTTGTGCGCCGGAGTGTAGCAGAAACATGTTGGACTTATATCTGTTTATGGGCAATTATGGAAGAAAATGAGATCTAATAAGTCCAGCAGAATAAATATAAAAATATACCTATATATTTTTTCGTTTCTATTGAGATCGCACCACAGTTTTGCTGATGATTTTTTTTTAAGAATTGTGCAGGAATTTTCCCTATCAGGAAATTCAAATAAATTGGTTACATTCTTCTTTGAAGGGAAGAAATTTTTTTCGAATACAATTAAAACAATTTTATTATCAAATTTTTTTGTGAATCCTTTAAATTTTGAAGAATAAAATAAGAAGTGAAAAGTTTAGTTATTTTTCTAGTCTTTGTAATGCTTTATTTACTTATTTTTAAACATTTCTTTAGTTTCAAAATTTTTCCACATACATATATACATTTATTTCTTTCTATTATTAAAATTGTTAAAATATTTTGTTTCTTATCTAAAATTTTTTTCCATATACCTACCGTACACGTAGATATTTGTGTTTCCATTTGGTGCTTTTTTTAATTTTTTATATTTTTTCATTTCAAAATATTTCCATATACATATGTACATATTATGTACATGCATGCATATGTACAATGTACATACGTATGCATATACTTACATTTTTTTATGTTATAAATTCTTTTTGGTTTTCAAGATTTTCTTTCGCAAAAAAACTCAAAAAAACTTTTCAATTTTAATTTTCTGCTGTCTGCAATTATTTTTTTCGTATTACCTATCAACATTTTTTCCAAATATAAGTTTGAGCGGCAAATTCAAGTAATTAATAATTTAAATGTCGATAATTTTTTTGCATATATTTTTATGAGCTATTAAATTAAAAAAGTTATAGAAATTAATTTAAAAAAGAAAATTATGAGTTTTATAAAAATTATCTTAATAATTTTCTCCATTACAAATTTGAAGGCACACAACTATTTTACATGGTATCAAAAACAAAAGTAAATATTGAAAGAGGGAAACAATTTGTGTCGTTTTCACAACTAAATATATAAATAATTTAATTAAATTTTATGTTTTTTACATTTTATAAAAACTTGAAGCAAATTCTTATATATTTTTTAATTTTTACAGCCACCTTGGTTCTGGTCATTATTTATGCTAGTACATAGATCTGCAAAAAAAATCTAAAATTTAGAACACACATTGAAATGAAATTGAATTGAATTGAAATTATGGTAAAATTTTTAAATTTTTTCTAGAAATTCTTCAAGAAAAGTTAAATATTTTAAGTGGTTTATAGCTAAAAATAAAAATTAAGAAAATGTGTTTTTTTTTACAAAGAGATTATTTTACGCTAAATTTATATTTCCAAACCAATCTATGTATGTATGTACATGGACCGAGATTAGTTTCCATGGAGCAAGATTTAGCAGTAATTAAACGCCGACTAATTCCTTAAAAGCACAATTGAAGTCTTGACTAGTCCTCGCCTAATACCCTGCGGGTACAATTAACGATACAGTGATAACTCCGACAAAAGTTTAAATACCGAGTATTCATCAAGCGAACGTTAGCTCAGCCGTTTGAATCTCGTCGGCTGACAATTTTTATTTTTTTTTTTGGAAAGAGACTAGTGCGTTTACCAGTGTCCTTTCGTAATCGCTTAGGTGTAGATTTTATAATTGGAATGCTAATAGTACATATTAGCGCCAGACATTTAATAGTGTTAATGTTCCTTTGCGACTAGTACCGTATGCCGCCCGTTTTCCTGGCTGGGCATATTTTAATTTTGTCAAATGAGCTGAGTTCAAAAACTTGTCGCAATTAGTTTTCATCTAAAAATTCATAATCAAAATGTGTTTTCGGGAAGTTTCCGCTACAAACTACACACATAAATATCTTTCATTTTATGTATGTATACGTATGTATAGATGTACATACATATGTATATTTGCTTGAAGGTTTCGAAATTTTAATATTCTTTCAAGATTAAATACAGTTGTTTCGTCTTATCGCAACACTTGTTTTATTGTTGTTATTTTCTTAGTTTTCGGTGCCTATTTGCTTGTCTAAATTCTTGAGCTAGACTTGTTATACAATTGGGTTGAATACATATTTCATTGCATGTAATATATGGATGTGTGTAGGTATGTATGTTGGTGTATGCAGGTAGGTATATATTAACATACCTGTACATTAGACCGTGTCAGAAAAAATAACAGCCCGCCGTACACCGCTGAGTACAAAGTATTTTTGAATGGCGATTTCGATTTTTATTTTTATTTATTTTTTCAAAAATATATCGGCATTTAGTACTTACCGTCCAGACCGCAGTTCTTGTCTTCCCAGCGAATCACTAAAAATCATTAAAATTTTGCTAAGGAAGTATTTCGGTTATTCTAGTAGAACTATTTGAAAAAAATTGTATTTCCGAATGTAGGTGTCACCGAAAAATGAAAAAAGTGGACCCCTAAGTTCAGCAAAAAATAAATAAAATAGCTTTTTCTGTAATTGCATTTTTACACTTTAGAATCAGGGCTGTATGACGCTTTTTTTGGTTTGCTTGTAAGGTGGTAAAACCCTATATCTATGTTACGAAAACCAAATGGCTGCAGGTTCTTTATGGCAGACTATAAATAAAAGTTTAAATTTGGTATAGTTACAGGACGATAGAAGCAAAGAAATTCCCATAAAATTGTATTTGTCTAATATGGTACATTGTATGTAAATACTTCAAGGGAATCCTATAGACATTTGTTAGAACAGATAACTCTGGTAAAAAAAATTTAAAAATTGAAAAAACTCATAGACATGAAACTTACTATTTATGTATACTAGTCATTCAACAAAGAAACAATTCGAACCTGCTCACCAAACAGCAGTCACCTTGACAAAGAGATGCAACTGGTAAGGAACGAACAAAAAAACGCCGAGCAACAGTTCAATGTTGTATGCAAAGTGAGTGCTGTACTAGCAAACAGCGCTATAAAGAGTAGCATAGCTACCCTGCAGGAAAAGTGACTGCAAAACGAAGTGAGTATTTACATACATACAGTTGACACGAGACTAAAATAGTTTATTTAATTGCAGCAGGCCGATGTCTAGCTTAAAATATATAAAAAAAAATCATTAGAGAGTTGCCACCTGTTTGAAAATTTCAGTTTAAGTAAATTGATAAGATAAAGTAAATATTGCATAGGCTGTCAAAATAAAGAGGTTTAAAAAGGCTTATAGCCGAAAATATTTTTTATTTTATTTTAATTTCACTGGAGAGGTTTGGTAAAGTTTACTGCCGAAAATATTTTTGAGGAGGGTTGCCACCTGTTTAAAATTTTTTTATTTAATTAAATTGATAAAATAAATGATATATTACAACGGGTATAAAACAACACAAAAATACTTTTAACGCGCAGCGAAGCACGCCGAGTTTTGGCTAGTTTGTTTATAAAAATATATAGGTGGTTCGCAAGGTGTCGTATTGTCGTATGTCGTAAAGTTTTTAACGGCTAAATAAATGTTTAAAGGAACACAACCAACTCTTTTTTTAATGGTGGGAAATTTCATAATACGACTTTTATGGTAGCTTGTGAATCCCTTAAATATAGTTTTAGCCGTTTAAAAATTACGACCAAAAAACAAAAAGACAGTATACAATACCCTCTGAACTCCCTAATAGTTTATTCTATAACAAAGACTGTATAAATTCCAGTTAAATCTTTGTACAACATTTAAGAAACCAACACATTTTCAGCTTTTTATTAAATTTTATTTTTTTTTTAAATAATTTGAGTATGCAGTTTTAAGGCCCATTCTATTTTTGTATAATAAAGAGCAAGTTTAAGGTAACTGGGGCTTACGGTTGACACTTGTAATGTCGTTCTATATGCCGTATGTTCCACTTGTGAGTAAAGCAGTTGTGCTAGAGGTCAGTGTATTCACTTGTGCATTCGTGCTTGCGAGCAGACTGTGTGAGGACCTCTAGATTAAAGGAAACGAAGAAGTGAGAAGAGTAGCAGTTTTGCCTTAACTTTACTTTTCACTGCTAGTGCTTCATCATTATTGAGCGAAAACTGCGTGAACTCATTCTGCTCAGCTCTCCGTGGAATCTTATGGCGGTTTCTTTTCTACAAAAAGTGTTGCCTTATCATTGCCCTCCTAAGACTGTTTGTGCAAAGCGGGCAAGGAGAAGGTAACATTTTTCGGTAGAATAGAAAACACCACTAGTTTTTTTCCTGCAGGGACGCCTGCATCTGAAAATAGCGCACTTTTTTTAAGCAGTTCTTTAGTTGTTTACTTTTGCAATGTTAATTATAAAATGCTGCTGGTGCCTTCATTTAAATATTGTTATTGTTGTTGGATAAGTCTTTGGCATTTGGCCGCTATGCGAATAAAAATATCGAGGTGTTTTGCATAATTTGGCGAAAGTGGATGTACATGCATACATTCATATAGATACGGCTCAAGCCCACCTTCCTCCTAAAGTAATTTACGTAAGAAAGTCGGTTATAACTAGACAACTTTAATTTTGCTTTTAAATTGAAATTTGTTACTCGGTAGAAATTTTTTTAACTCAAAATGGCGAACGAATTTTTGAAAATTCATTCTTCCTCACTCTCCAAAATTGGTTCTGGAAAACATCGGTTAAATTTGTTTCTCGGGGAGGTTTTTGAATCCGACCATGAGTTTTAAAAATAGCGAATTCCATTTTTTTTTAAATACTCCAAGGGCACCCTAGTAACAAGATTTGAGCGAATTAAACACATTTTCAAAAACTTATAATTTAAAAGTAAACACTACCGAATTTTATAGATTTTTTTTTACCTGAATTAATTTTGAAGAGGAATAAATGAAT